CCCCAAAACCCCAAAACCCCAAAACCCCAAAACCCCAAAACCCCGAACAAAATAAATTTGCTGAAATAAGAATCAAAGGCAGCCTAGGTGGTCTTATTAGCCCTCTTATATGGCTTGGAATTACCATTTTTGCCATTCTTTCCGTTGCTAGTGTGCTTCTTGGCCTTTGAAGAATCCTTCTTATTATCTACTTCACTGTCATCCTTAACTTTTTCCTTGGATCTGTACATTTTTATCTGAATTCAAATGGTGGCATTCATAGTAAATGAAATTACAGAAGCTAAAATATAGAATGGGTCCTTGATCTCCTTAAGGACAGTCAAAAGTCTCACAAAATTTCCAAGAGCGTTCATAAAGAATGAAGTGAAGGATAACTGCCCAGTAGACTTCTGGGAGAAGTTGAACCAGATCTGAGGGAGTCTTGAGTACAGAGAGAAAATTATCTGTAAGTTTATCAGCACCTTCCATGCTGACTCGTTCAGATAAATATCTGTGTATAATACTCCAAATAAGGAGAAAAGAACTAAATATGTTGCAATTCTACTGATGATTTTAGATTCTTTGTCATAATCCCATAAAAGATTGATAATCAGGAAGCTTTGTAAGAACATAAAGAGGTTTTCTCCGTACACACTGAATGAAGATCCCAAATGTGCAGCGTAACATCCTTTAATGATGTACATAACACACTCTGCAAAGAAGGTAGAAGGCAACACTCCTTTACCTGATTTAGCCTTGATGATTCTCATAATCTGAGGCAGTTTGACTGCAGTAGCTGCAAGAATGATCAAGTATCCGAAGAACTTGCTTAAGGTGATTGAAATACAGTCTTTATAGGCAAAATTGAAACTAGTAAACTCCTCAAAACAGTCTTCTCTGAAGAAGAGGTACTTGAACTTAGGCTTTCCAGACACCTTGTCTCCAACGGTCTCTTTTGTAACCACACCCTGAACCACAACAATAAAGACAATGGCAAGGATGAGTACTAGTATTAACTTAGATGGTTTAATCATTAACCTTGAAACTAGTTTAAAAATTATTACTTTTTGTATATTTTCCCTTTTCAATCCTTTTTTGACTTCAAGGGGTTTTGGGGTTTTGGGGTTTTGGGGTTTTGGGGTTTTGGGGTTTTGGGG